CAAGCTTCCTCAGTCGATCAAGAACAAAAGACCTAAGACCTGAACAGGAACACGACATCTCTCACATCATGCAATCAAACGTGATCTAGTGTCAGACGGTACCATATGTCATGTCACGTTCTGGGGCCCCTCCTGTCATGAGGTCTTCGGACAGACGCATCTTGACTATTTCCTACAGTACAGAGTTTATAATTCAGTGCTTGTTTGTGCTACGCTAAGCTGGGATGCTAGCTCACCCGATCTCACGACCACTCTCATAACACTATTCGAGCTGACACTATCACAATCAATGCCGTTTCTATGGTCACGTACCAGAAGTCAGTTAATAGGTTACCAGTCAAGACCGCATGTGTAGACCTGAGGCACGCGGTAGGCCAGAAACATGCCCGCCGCCATGCCAGATCCACCTTTCCGGATACTATCACGAGGCCCCTTTCTGTTCCTGGGTGTGCTCTTCTCAGCCTTGAAACAGGAAGTCCATAAGCTGACTAGTCTGCGGATGGTGCAATCTGAAATGAGGACGGCGACTCGATGTAACGGCAGTCAGGGTAAAGCGCCATAAGCGACCTTAGCTGACGCCCGAAAACCCAAGCGAAGGTCGTCAGTTCCGTCGATGCAGTCGTTCTGGACGTTGAAGGTTGGGGTGGCCGGCCGAAAAGGTGGGGTGGATGGTCACATCCAAAAGATGCTCTACCGCCGGATGGTCCCGCCAGATGTGGGCGCCAGATCGGGCCCCACCCAGGAAAAGCACAGATCCCCGGCATACGCCCCACCCCGGGCCGGAAGCTGTCTGCTGGGCCTCTTCCGTCTGCTGCATCCTTCATCAACTTCTGGCCCTCGGTCTCCATCTACCAGTCCAGATCCGGCACCCCGGTCGCTCCACATTTTCATCGCTCACTCTGGACCTGGTCTAGACCCCGGCTGCCAAAAGCCAACCGCCGGCCGTTTGCTCATCTGGAAGCCGCAAGTGTGATGTTTTCCACCAACCCCTGCCACAACGCTCACCAAGCGATTATCCAAGAGGC